AAATGCCAAAGGCGCACAGAACGCTGTTCCCTTCCCACCAAAGGTGGTTCCTATTTTTTTCTACTTGCATTTTTACATGCTTTCGAAGTGCTAGGTTGGCAGAAGCCGGGACAAGCAATAGGAGCTCACTCCATTACGCAGTGCTAGGGATTTGAACGGCCGACCTTTGTGATCAACAAGCTCAGCGTCTTAGCCACTGAGCCACCGCATCCCTTTACAACGTATCAGTAGCAAAGGAATAAAACAATAAAGAATGGAAGTACAATAATATGAAATTTAAAAAGATGGGCCGAGGGGGATGGGAAAGCACAGGGGGGAGGTTGGGGTCAGTTAATTAGTTCAGTTGCCACCATATGTATTACTATGGACTACATATCCCGTAAGATAAAACAGCTGGAGTTAGTCCTCGACTTAACAACCATCCGCTTAGCGATTGCTTGTCACAATAGCATTGAAAAAGGTGATTTACAACTGTCTCATCGTCACATGACCAAAATTTGGGCTCTTGGCAACTACGGTGTATTTATGATGGTTGCAGCATCTCATTCTGCAACCCTCCCAGCCAGCTTCTGAAAACCAAAGTCAATGGGGGAAGCTGAATTTGCTTAACAACTGCATTATTCACTTAAGGGCAGTGATTCCCTTAATAACCATGGCAAAAAAGACCATAAAATCAGGGGCAACTCAAGAACGGTGTTGCTTCGAGATGGAAATTCTGGCCCCAATTGTCATAAATCAAGGACTACCTGTACAGATAGTCCTCAACTTACAACAGTTCATTTAGGGACCAAAGTTATACCACCAAAGGAAAAAAAATGACTTATGACCATTTTTCACACTTAATGACCACTGCAGCATCACCGTGGTCATATGATTTGCCTTCGAATGTTTGACAACTAATTCATACTTACGACGGTTGCAGTGTCCTAGGGTCATGTGATCCCCTTTTGCGACTTTCTGACAAGCAAAGATTCACTTCAGCTTAACAACCGTGTTACTAATTTAACAAATGCAGTGATTCACTTAAAAGCTGTGGCAAGAAGTCGTAAAACCCACTTAACAAAATTTTCACTTAACAACATAAATTTTGGGGCCAATTATGATCATAAGTTGAGGACTAGCCTGTAGTATGCTAGGAATGGCTAACAAATGGTAGGAATTATTTTTAATTCACTGGGTCTCCATGTATTCAAAAAAATATACCCTATTTTCTCGGAGTAAAAGACGCTCCAGAGTATAAGACGCAGCTTAGTTTTTGGGGAGGAAAATAATAAGAAGAAAAATTCTGCCTCTGCCTACCAGCATCCATGGTATTCAGCTGACACATGGTAACAAGGTCAGCNTAAGCAAGAGCGTTGTTAAGTGAGTTTCACCACATTTTACAAGTTGGCCATGCCCACCCAGTCACATGGCTGGCAGGCCATGCCCACCCAGTCACATTGCCAGCAAGCCTCTCCCACAAAGTGAGACACACCTACAGAAGAGGTTCTAAAATTTTTTGAAACCCACCACTGAAAGCCAACCACATTTAGAATCATCTCAAGTTTATTACATCTTAATTTACACAGAATATAATGCAACCCAGAAGTTAGGGAGAGTGATCAGAGACTATTACTTTGACCTCTGCCTTTTAATAATTTATTTTTTTTCCTGATATTTTTAAGAAATATTTTGAACAAAACAGCTGTTTTAAAATAACTCTTCCGATATTTTTTTTTAAAAATGCCCAAGAATCAGGCTTTTTCCTCATTACATGCGGAACACTGACAAGTGCAGTAGAAATTTAAACAAATATATAAAGTTCTCATTACATTAAAATGGTGTCTTTGGTGGTAAATGAATATATTTATGTGGCCATTTAAAAAACCTGAAGATTTCTATCCAAAGGGAACAGACTTTTGGTATAGCAATCTACAGTATAGCACCCTTTTTAAATAAAAATTGCCATATAGACACATTTAGAAAAATAGCATCCTTCAAAACTAGCAGGATTGAAATTCTACCAGCTCCTGGCTTTAATCAGATTTAGAGCTGTTAACATGCTTCAAAAATGACTTGGAAGAACAATTTTGTGCCCGTACTGATCCAAAAACTTTGCAATTTGTTAAAAAAAAGTCCATTTTTAGGGAGGCGTCTGTCAGAAACATAAAATAAAACTGCTGTTGCTTTAAGGTTCTACTTAAAGCCACTGGATTCCTTAAAGTGCCATTATTTAAAGCCTTGGGTGGAAACCTGGGAAAAGGCAGGCTGTTTTATTGAATAGCAGCCAAGTGTTGGGCTTTGAGCCCTTCCCAATTGTTGTTTTCAAGGCCTGCACAAGACTTGTTAAGATTTGCTTCCCGATTCTGAAAATAAAGGATCAGACGATGAAGGAGCTGGGATCCTTTCACTAGGTTACCGGATGCTATCAGGCCAAATAAGGTATTGGAGGTAGCTCTGTTTTATGTTATGGATGGACCATCCCAAATGGGCGGGAGGGGAATACAATTTAATAAATTGATGGATTGAATGAGTGGGCCAGGACTCTACTTCTGCATCTGGATTAGTGCTTTTCAACTGTGGCCCCTTTAAGTTGGGTGGACTTCCAACTCCCAGAATTCTGGAAGTTGAACTCCACCCATCTTAAAGGGGCCACGGTTGAGAAACCCTGTTTTAGACCATCTCTGTACATGGAAGAGGTGCTTTAAGTTCTCTGGTTCTCCAGGAAGCTTCCTCGGAAGAAGAGCAATAAATACAGGACAGATCAAGGGCCCGGAAGGACCATTTCAGACTCAAGGTATTGCACATTTATCAAGAAGAATCTGGTTGAACCCGGTCACCATGCAGCTGTAGCTGTAGGGCCTGGTGTTGGCATAAAGCAGCGGAGACCTTCTGCAGTGGAACTTGATGGAGCCCTGAGGATAAAAAAAGATGCTGGATGACCAAGGCATGATACCAATTAAAAAGATAATGACAATTGCAAAATGGGAAGTGCGCTAGATGGTTATTTACAGGGAAGACAAATTGGGGCACAGTTAACGTACATATCTAAAGCAAGTATGTGATACAACAAGTGTGTGATACAGCAAGTGTGCAATATATATATATTTATTTTGAGATATTTATTGGCTAATTTTATTTGCCACCCATCTTGACGTGGGTCTACTCTGGGTGGCTCACAAATCATAAAATTAAAAAAAACAAATGTAAAGATAACAGTAAGGTAAAGGTAAAGGTTCCCCCTGCACATATGTGCTAGTCGTTCCTGACTCTAGGGGGCGGTGCTCATCTTCGTTTCAAAGCCAAAGAGCCAGCGCTGTCTGAAGACGTCTCTGGGGTCATGTGGCCGGCATGACCAAATGCCAAAGGCGCACAGAACGCTGTTCCCTTCCCACCAAAGGTGGTTCCTATTTTTTTCTACTTGCATTTTTACATGCTTTCGAAGTGCTAGGTTGGCAGAAGCNAGTCGAGGATTACCTGCATTTGACTTGCCCCCGATCCTCAGGCATCTTAGATGCCAAGAATTGTCTAGTCTGATGAAGAGAAGGACCAGAGGAGACATGATAGCAGTGATCCAATATCTGAAGGGCTGCCCCAAATAAGAGGGAGTCAAGCTATTCTCCAAGGCACCTGAGGGCAGAACAAGAAGCAATGGGTGGAAACTAATCAAGGAGAGAAGCAACCTAGAACTGAAGAGAAATTTCCTGACAGTTAGAACAAATAATCAGTGGAATAACTTGCCTCCAGAAGTTGTGGATGCCTCAACACTGGAAGCTTTTAAGAAGATGTTGGATAACCATTTGTCTGAAACGGTACAGGGTTTCCTGCCTAGGCAGGGGGTTGGACTAGAAGACCTCCAAGGTCCCTTCCAACTCTCTTATTCTATTCTAACTTTCTCATATCTGAAATTCTCAGCTCATCCTTCTTCCTTTCCCCTCATTTTTCTAAAAAACAGAGGAATCTGAAGAGCTCCGAGGCATCCTTTCGAATCCTCACCTCCGAACACTGCTGCTTACCATTGACCAGTCCAGAGACAAGAGCGGCCTCATGAGGAAATACATGCAGGAACCAGTCTTTGTGGAGTTTGCAGATTGTTGCCTGAGGACTGTCGAGCTGGGGGTGAAGGAGAAGGAAATCCCAGAGTGAAGGTCTAGGAGCCAAGTGGAGGCTTCTACCAGCCTTGGAAAGTTGCCGGCAAATTTGGAAATGCTTTGTCTTATTGGCTGCTGATCGTGTGTTGGAATCCCTTGGACAGAACGAGCTAGAACAGTTGATCCAGGCATGGGGGTAGGTGTGGTGGGCCACTTTCACAAGCTGATTTTTTTGGGAGGAACCGCCAAATCTTTGCCAATGCCTCTAGAACAGTGATAGCGAACCTTTTTTTCCTTGGGTGCCGAATGTGCGCTGACACCCAAAATGCAACGCCCCTGTGCATGTGCATGCAACCCCCCCCCCGCACTCCCTCGGCACGCCATTCATGTGGGCACCCGTTTTGGTGCTAGCGGGCCTCCCTGAAGCCACCTGGGACCAAAAATGGGGTTCAGGGGAAGGCGCCACATTCCCCCCACCCCCTGTGCATGAATGTGTGACCCCCCTCCCACCCCACGCATGCATGCACGACCCACCCACCCCTGCGGGCGGATCTCCCAGCAGACCCAAAAACTAGCTGGTCGGCGGGAGGCACACGCACATGCGCAGTGGTGCTGATCTGGGTGATAGCTCACCTGCCCGCAGAGATGGCGCCACGTACCATCTGTACCATGCGCGCCATTGGCTCGCCATCACGGCTCTAGAAGACGGCTGGTTTTGAAAGGGAGAAAGCTGCTTTTATCTTTTAAATAAATTCTTTAATGAAGTCTGTCTAACCTACTTTTTGCACTCTTGTCTGATTTTATCTTATGTGGGAATGGAAAGAAAGTTAAGATTTTACTTCTGAAGTATAAAACCTATGCAGTAAGACTATCAAAGCCAACAGGGATGGGTTCCTGCCAGTTCTAACCTCTTCTATAGAAGAGGTTCCACAAATCTACCGTGCCGTTTAGAACCGGTTCCAGCTCCCTCCCCCCACCTGTCNTATTGGGGCTCTGAAATTTGCTGGGTGAGCAAGGAGGAGACCAGAAGGAGCCTGGCTTAGCCGAGAACGGAAAGTGAAACTGCTTATGTTTTGCTTGTATTTTACGGCTACTTTGGAAAACCTGCTTTTGGTAATGTATTGTATATTATTATGATTATTTTGAATCCTGCTGAATGAGTTACTGTGCTTTCTGAACGCGATGGCTGCTGCAAACTCTGATCAGCCAGGTCAGCTTCAGCACTTATTGCAACCTTTCAGCATAGCTGATTGGCGGGTGGATCGACTGCCAGAATACCCCCAATCAGCTGTTCCAGGCTGCAGGGATTGCCACAGACCATCGCTGGCTCCATGCATCGTGTTTTTGGCCTCTGGTGGGTGTGGGTGCGGCTACATTCAGTATATAAGACGCACCCAAATTTCCACCCTCTTTTTTGGGGGGGGGAAGGTATGTCTTATACTCCGAAAAATACAGTATATGGTTGCGCTTCAGTGTTTGGTTGAAAATGAAGTAAGCGTGGCTGTTTTCCAGGGATGTGAGTGTGTGAGTGAGCAAAAATCAAATGTGGAAGTGTGTGTAACAGTAAACCTTACCTGTGGGGCAGCTCGGATGGAGTTGACACCTTGTAGAGAGAACCTGGTCTCTGTTTTGGTCCAGTTCATCTTCTGTAAGACTTGGAGGCAAGTTAGGAGAGCAAGTTCTCTCTGGAGCCCCCCCAGCGTTGTTGGGGTGCTTGACAGAACAAGGCTGAGAGGCCAGATGTGGATGATGGGATTCAGAGGGCAGAAGCTGTCCAGTTTTTTAGCAGCCTGGCCTAAGGGAGCAGCTGCCCCAAGGACAGAGGGAAGGGGATGTTCCTCCATGCCATCCAGTTCTTCTGCAGCTATCACTGCCATCTTGGTCTACGGAAGAGGAATAAAAAATACTCCAATTTACCCACCAAGTAATCATTGAGAAAAGGAAAGATTTATTTCTCTTCTGGATTAAATAATCTGGAAGCAGTACAACTGTAGGTGGCGCAGTGGTTAGAATGCAGTACTGCCAGCTTCTTCTGCTGACTGCCTGCAGTTTTACAGTTCAATCCTCACCAGGCTCAAGGTTGACTCAGCCTCCCGTCGTTCCAAGGTCGGTAAAATGAGGACCCAAATTGTTGAGGGTCACAGGCTGACTCTGTAAACTGTTTAGAGAACCACTGTGAAGTGGTATATAAGTCTAAATGCTAAATAATCTCAACCCTGCAATCATTAAAAAATGTGATAGTCCTCAACTCATTTAGCAACTGTTTGAAGTTGCAACACTGCTAAAAAAAATGATTTACAATGGCTTCTCCCAGTTATGACCGTTGCAACGTTCCTTGTGATCACCAGGACTTGATTTGGGTGCTTAGTAATCGGCAGGAATGGTTGCAATTTAGATGGTTGAGGTATCCAAGGCTCATTCTGTTGCCATTTACAATCCTCCCAGCCGGAATCTGACAAGCAATGTGGAAGCCAGCAAGAAGTCGCAAATCATGATCGCTTGTCTAACTTCATCACCGTGGGGAAAAAAAGATGGTAAAATTGGGTGCGGTCATATGATGCCTCACTTTAGAGACCGCATCACAACAATGAATTTTCCAATCCTAATTATGGCTGTAAATTGAGGACTATATGGGGGAAAAAATCTGTAGCTTTCCCCTGTTTTTGTCACTTAAATTTTGACTTATGAGGGGAGAGGAACACAGGGGCTTTCTTTAAATTCCCACAAATCTTTTGTTGTTAGTTGCAAAGTCGTGTCCGACCCATTGTGACCCCACGGACAACGTTCCTCCAGGCCTTCCTGTCTTCTATCATCCTCTGGAGTCCATTGAAGCTCACGCCAATTGCTTCGGTGACTCCATCCAGCCACCTCATTCTCTGCTGTCCCCTTCTTCTTTTGCCCTCCATCTTTCCCAGCATGAGGCTCTTCTCCAGGCATTCCTTCTCATTAGGTGGCCAAAGTATTTGTGTTTCATCTTCAGGATCTGGCCTTCTAAA